GCCTGTGTCCCATTTATGCCATCAGACCAAGATTGTCCTCGTTTTTGTGGGGGTTGAAAGAACAATCACAATCAAAATGGCATGCTGCCACGGGTGCTGCTTGTTTGTAGCGTGAGCTTTTTGGAACAGGGTATTCCCACTGTTTGGAAGGTCGTGGTACGACCTGACATCAGCAGTAATAGCAAGTAGGAAACAATCACAGGCCCCTTGAGTCACTCAGACTCCAAAAATCACATTTCTTAAAAAATACTCTTCCTCTCTCGCTCTTGCTGTACATACTCATATATTTGTGTGTATATATGTATAGAATATAATAAATATAATAGAACAGAATTAATATAATATAATGCATGTGTGTCTATATAAGTAAGTATATATATGCATTTTATATATATTCTTCTATATAAATTAAATACATCGAAATTTTAAGGGATAATAAAGAAAATGGAAAAATGTAATATTCACTGTTTGTCAGTAGAAGATAGGAAATATTTAAATGAATACCACAGAATTTGTGACTGATGAAGTATCAAAATAGTTCCAGTGATCTAACAGAAAATTTAAATTTGATCATGGATCAAATGTAATTATAAAAGCCTGAAGGAAAAGAAAAATAGCATAAATGTGGGAGGACTCGAACCATGTTCAGTACAGATCGATTTGATTGAATCTCTCAGGACAGGCTAATTTCCAAAATAACAAGTCTTACTTATAATCTACCAGTAAGCAAGAAAAATATAATTACATTCAAATAGATTATCCTGCATTGCATTTTCCTCTCTTTCTGTGAATTATTTTCCTGAAACCATCATTAAAAACTGGAATTTTAAAAAAAATGTTTATAGTCATAGCCTTTTCTAGTAAACTTGGCACTTTTTTTTTCTGATAACAGAGACACTATTGAGCTCTATAACAATTTAAATAAACATTTATAGATAGGTATATTTATTTAGCTTCTTATTCATTATTCATAATAATTACTGTAGTTTTTTTCAATTTTTTAACTGACAGCCCTTTCTGAATATAAACAGAAGACCAGAGTAATGCAGAAATAACTTTTGTATTTACTTCTAAGTTATACTGACCTCAATATTCTAGATAGCTCAGAAAAATAGAGTCCCTCAAAATATGTTTATATGAAAATGTAAACAGTTCTTAGGTGTTTCCTTTACTTTCTATAATTAGTAACTTGGACAGAACAGATTCTAAAACCTCAAACTAGAAAGATTCGTGGATTAAGGTATTTAGATTTTTTTTACTAAGGATTTTTTTTTGTGAAACTGGAAGAGGAAAATTCAGTGCTCTACTTTACTAATTCTTAATCCATATCTGATACTGAAAATGATTAAAATATTATTTTAGCATCTACAGAAGACACTGCAGTTGTCAAAAATTCTGGATGTTTAGCCTGTTTATCTTGCCTCCTGAATTCTTTTATAACTCTCGTAGCAGACAAATGACCTTGCTCAGTACCTTTAGCTATTTTATTAATTATAAATTTAGGCCTCAAATCCTCTGTTCTAATTTTCAACTGATGTTACTTTAGAAAGAAGAGTAGCAACCTGAATGTGAAATTTGGGGTAGAACCTGAATGCCACACCTGTAGGACTCAAACAGTTAATACAAGCTGGCACTTCTCCTACGTTATATTCAAATGTGCTAAAATGAGTACACTGACGTACGACTGCTACCATTTTTAAAGGATTTATATTATTGGCACTACTGTGCTCTAGGACATGCTGTGCTGTAACAGGAAAACAGTTTTTTAACTGTTCTAATAAGCAGCTCCCTATTAGGAACTACCTATTAAGCAGTGCAGTCATTTCACTTAATTGAAGTGTACATTCTGTAGTCTCTAAGAGGCAAACCAAAATATTATGTTACCCATTAAAAAACCGTATGTTTTGTATTTTCTTTTCACAAGTTTGTGCTGCGACAATAAAAGACAAGTCTAATAATACGGAACAAAAAGTGTGACAGATGTAGATGTCTGTAATCACCATCAGTACGGACTGAAATACGTCTGCATTATGCTGAGAGTTATTGAAAACATGGATCAAACTTCTTACTAGTTCCATATAACATTTTACTTTGTGAAGATAATGGCAAAAGTAATTATGATCATGTCTCAGGGACATAGCTAGTCAGGATTTAAGAGTAGCACAGAGTCAGGTAAAGTGGTGATCCACATACTGGTGCTGCTATAATATATTGATATTTGACTCTAAGCCTCACCTACAGAGCTACTGTTCTTTCATTTTTAACATTCTGAAAGCTATTTCAAGCATGACTTCTCTCAAGCAACAGGCAAGAATGCTCTACAGTTGAGTGCTGTAGCAAAACTGGATAGTGGGAAGTGTTTATTAAAGGCATACCTGTCCAGCTCTTGCATTTTCACAGACAAAAGTATCATAGAATACAGCAAACTGTGGGGCATTGTCATTAACATCCAAAATTCGTACGTAGACGGGAACACGAGTAGTATCTTTAGGGTTGTCTGACAGGACAAGAGAAAAGAATAAAGGGTTTATTTTCCTTCTAAAAGTTTCTTCCTTCTTTCCAATTTTCATGAGCAATAGACGTGCAAGATTAGATACGAAACTGGTCAAAATTTAGCATACAAACTGCTGCCAGGTAAGAACCAGGCCCCTGAAAAATAGGGAGACTTTTTGCTTAGAGTGAAAAATAAATTATTGGTAACTAAAGAGCAATTAAGATTTTACTGAAACTGTTAATAATCCATGCAAATACAGTATGCAAAAAGTATGCCCACTATTCTAATGATAAATATGACTATTTAATGGGCTCAAGAGAATTATTCTGCTGTTAGGTTTTGATTCTGAATTTTAATTTGTGAGCTGATTTGTTTTACATAGAAAAGATGTTATTGACTTTGTGCATAGATAGGTTGAAAATTTCCCAAGCCTGGCTTTCCTCTCCCGTGCCTTATTAAGTAGGGAGAAATTTCTGCAACGCCAATGAAGGCATATCAGGAAAAAATCTGGTAAATAATTGATTAGTGTCAGAGTTTTTATATTTACATTGTCTTAAAAAATATGGTTGTAGAATTTCAGACCTTAGGTCAAGAAACAAGAATAGTAACCTCCCCCTTGACAAATGCTAAAATCCTAGTACTATTGAGAATTCCCTCTCATTAGAGTAGGTTAATTCAGGAATACAAACATCCCTGTCCTTACTTGCTGATCTGCCATACCAGGAATCTGAAATAATGCCTAGGAGTAAAAAAGCGCAGCCATGTCTTGGAATTCTGCTAGATCATAACTAAATACTATATGATTTCGCAACATTAATGGAATGGGATAAGTAACAACAGAGATGATTCAAAGTTACTTTTTTTTCCCCCTCTTTTAAGCTGCTTCAAATAAAACAGTGAACATTTAGGAGTAGCTGGCATTAAATTCACTTGTTATTAATAACACCTTTGTAAGCAAGTGTGATGTGGAGATTTCTGACTTCCTGAATTATTTAAAATGGCAGGTTTAGGGCACCATTTTTCATAGCCTTTTTGACTTTTGTACCAACCTTCCAAATAAGTTCTGTTATTAACACAGCTTTCCCATTAGGTCGTGCTCTACAGGAAACACTTTAAAACATTTAGAGACCTAAATCTCCCCATTCACTTCTTTCTCCAAAACTAATATACCTCTTTAGAGAATGCTAGCTACTCCACCAAGGTTCAGAAAGTAAATTTTTTTAGTGCATCCCAACAAGGAAATAAGTTTAGCACTGATATAATAGTACAAGGATACTGAGATTTTTTCATTATATAAATACTTCTAAAAACTATTCTTATAGCACTGGGCAGGATTGTAAGCTCAGGGCAATACATTGCAAGAGAGGAAAAAAAAAGTTTAGAAAAAAGGTACAGCTACTGGGTGTGCTCAATACAACCAGCCTATTAGTCTGGACTACAGAAATGGGGACAGGCAGGCTAAGAGCGGTTAATTGGCCGGACACGATGTTCCATTTAGTTCTCTGCAGCGTATTTCTTGGCAGCCAAGCCTCACTGCTGATCAGCATCTTTTTTCTTTTCTTTTTTTTTTTTTTTGACTGATACAGAATTAACCTTAAGAAAATAGTGAATTTGAAAACAAGTAAAAGATCAGACCTATGTCTCTTAGAAAATTTTCCATCAGATGATTAGATAATTAGATAATCTCAATAATGTAGCAGGTGTAGGAGGATCTCTGCTTTGCTCTTTGTATTTTTAATGTGAAAATATCTACAGAGAGGTTCTTTATGAGAAACATGACAGCTTAGGGGTCAAACTGAATCTAACTTCTAAGATGTATTGATTCCAAGAGCTGTTAAGTGTAGATGCCATAGGAAGAGATAATGAAATTATTTCTAAGAAAATGAAGAAAACCATAGAGATAAGATCACAGATTAGCATCCTGAACTCTGCTACTGTACAGCAAAATCATGTCATTGTCCTCAAAGAAAAGGAAGAAAACAGTCATTATTTCATTAGGTAACATTTCAGAAGTAACTTGGGTATTAAAGGTCAGTGATGGAAGTAGATGAGGAAAAAAGCAATGAGGATATGGCTGTGGTTAGCTGCTCCCATTTACTTTCCCAGAATATCTAATAGAAAGGGGCGGCGGGAAAGCAAGGAGGTTTTTGCTCATGAAGTCACAGCTGTAACTTTGCAGGCCAAGGAAAACTGGAAGGAGAAAGACCAAATTGGCTTACTGATCTCAGCTGCTATAACACTAAGGTTGTGCCATTGTGATATCTCACGGTCAAGGGGCTTAGACGTATAGATGGACCCATTTCCAGAATGAATATTAAATATCCTGTCAAGGTCGGTGTGACGATCCAAAGAAAACCTGAACATGATAAAAAAAAGAAGTATTGTCAAAATGACAGAAAATGAAAGAAAGTGTATGTTTCACAAGTCAATACAGATTTTAGGTTCTGTATGTTACATTACAAAGGTTAGTTTTGTGAAAACCCATATTTAGTTTCTATAAACTCTTATGAAAATTCTCAAGGCTAGTTCCACAGAATGAGGAAAGAAAATTGCAAGAATTTCATAAATATGATACAATATTTAATCATCTAAGCTTTTACAGTCATATATAAGAAATAAGTCAGAATTTCAAAATAATTATTAAGGAATTGTTTAAATCCTGACAGGAAAATTCTTTGATGTACTGTACCTTCAGACTGAGACTGACAACTAATTTATGAGCTTTTCAAAAATATTTTTATAAGTCTGCTTCTACAATTCAGGATATACTAATTTACTAGAGATCAATTTAAAAAAAAAAAACAACAAACAAACCTCCATAAAAATAAGCTCACATGCAGAACTTCCACTTTCATGAATACACTGATTTTAAAGGACCCTCTGTGTTGCTATCGTTGCAATTCTTCTGCAGGCAAAACTTCTACTAACACAATATGGCAGAATGTCAAACTAGAATCAGAAAATTGCCCTTTCCTCCATTTTTTTCTAGTATTTATTGCTGCCTTCAAATTTAGTGTGGAAACTTTGGAATTAAATGTAGGATTTGCAAAGCACAGACCATTTATCTAACTACCTTGAAGAATTGGGCCAAATTAAGAAAAAAGTCTGCTAGTACACTTGTACAGTGTGATAGAAACACTCGGTTCATGTTTCTGTGAACTTTTATTAGTGATCAGAAAAGTTCATCAAGTGTATCTGATTTTACTTACTGTACTTAACTAAATTGACCCAAGTGCTCAATTTAGTTGAGATTGTAGAAAACTGAAATTAGTAGAAAATGTGTACCTGAAAAGTCATGTTGTCTTACTATTTCTTTAATTTCTTCAGCAACTGATCTGTTTCCAGAGACTGGAGAATTACCTTATTGGACTTGAGGCCGAATCAGGATCCCGTGCCATTACCGTTCCTATTATTGTCCCCAACTCAATATCTTCATGCACCTCAAAAAGGTAAGAAGATCTGCTGAAGACAGGAGGTTCATCTACATCTTCTACAGAGATTTTCACAATAGTTGTATCTTTGAAAGGCCCAAGATAATAGAAGCGTGGATCCACATGGGTATTCTCAGCTTCCACTTTCAAGGTATAAAGACGTCTCGTCTCATAGTCTAGTGGCTAAAAATAATAATAAAGTTTATTAAATTACATTAAATATTGATAAATGTTGACCTATATACATAATGGAAACTGAAGAGGACTTGAGCCTTGCCAGATCCCGCCCTGGGTTGGGGGAATCCCGATAGAGTTCAAATTTTCCGCAACAGAGAGATTACTTTCTTTGGTAGGAAATTTCCACTGGTTTTAGAGGAACTTTCTCTTCCTAAATATTCTGTTACCATAGCACCAATGACAAAAAGATTTTCAGTGCAAATTTACCAATTATTTAATGATTTTTTACAGCTGTTTTACGAGAATATGGATTTTAAAAAAAATATATAAGCATTTAAAACAGAATACAGACTTGAAATACTGACATTTCAAAACAAGGTACCTGATACTTACACTTCTCAGGAAGTACTATAAAGTCTTGGATACTCAAAATGGCCTGAGTATGAGTTTTGTCAATCAAATGTAGCTGGCCTTAAATATCAGGAATGTTTTAGGTTTCTTTTAAGGAGGTATGTCAAAGTTCTCTAGAGAAACAGTAGGAGCTTAATCTTGTTCCTTTTCATTTAATTTAATGAATCTAACATCAGAGATACTTTCTGTAAAACAGATTTGACATTTTTGTCAGCAGTTCTTTTTTTAAAATGGAAGGAGGAAAGGTTCAGGGTTATAATTAGAAACCATTTTGGATAGAAAAGAACCTCTACTCCTTCAATTTTTTCTGCATGACACAGATGAAAAGTATTAGCTAATTAATGATACTGAGGAAATGAATAAGCTGAGAATTTACCTTTCTGACACTTTCATTAACTTCCCCCAAAATCTCAGGGAGACATCACACTGGTGGCTTTCATTCATCAAAACAGGTGGTAGAAGACCTGTTTTTTCTGCCTAACTGTTTTTAAATACAAATTAATGATCACGAAAGATGCCAGAATGACAGCCTAGTCTAGTGAAAGAATGAGTTTTCCCTACTGCCCCAAACTTCTTTTAAAAAAATAGTTACAGCAGAAGGGAGAGAATGTGAATGTAATTGAGAAATGCAAGACATTGCTGCTCTTTAACCTAGAGCTGAGACTGCTGGTGTGTGTATAAAGTGCAGCATGCTGCTGTTAAGGGATGCTGGCTTCAAGGTTGAAAGCAAAGAATCCATGTTAGTCCTGTTTTATTCTAATTAGCTAGGTTAATTTGCCAGAGGGTGCACCATGCAGATGCATTTAACTTGCTACTAGTACAGTCACATCTAGTTTGGATGTCTCTTCAGGCTATGCTGGAAAATGTGCATATGAGATGTGCGGATTAGTCAGGATTCCAATGTATAACCAGTAATGAACAAAACTGTTGCTCAAGTACATGGAATTGTGGCAAAGCAATTATTTTTGTCTGCAAGAACTTGTGTAGAGAAAGTTCTTTTACAGCAGTTATTAAATTCAGACTTGGTAACATAAGGGCTGAGTCAACGAACACCAGCTATTTGTAGGACAATCAATGTGGCTAAGTAAAAAATAGAATATTTTCATAAATGAAGAAACTTAGCAGATCTTCTTCCTTGCTAGTTAATGCTGTTGTCAGTGCTATGTGAACAAACTACTTATTTACCAGTACAAGAAAGTATCCTGAACATTGCAAAATGTGTCAGATTGCTAACGACAAAATGAGAAGATCTTGTTCATTAGTATTTATTGGTGACATTTTTGGAGCTGCTGTCTTCTAAGTTATGGGATTTTTTTAAGCTTGATCCAGTTATTAAACTGTTTTTTCAAAACTCGATTGATTTGATATAATAGCAGCCAGTGTGAAAAATCTGAAGCAAGCAAAAGAGTTTGACTATCTCAAGAAAAGCCTTCACAGACTTAGAGGTAAAGGAAAAAATACTGAGTCCCAAATTCTGTATTTCCATTTCTTCCAGGAAAGATATAATACAATGCTGACTATGAACTCAGGAGAACATTGAGATTAAAAAGGAATGCACTCTGATCACGGCAGGACCTTTATTTTCCTTGCTTGTCATTATCAAAAGATGTGGAAATCTTTTATAGTAGTAGTTACTTTGTTACTCTATGCTAAAGGAGATTTGTTTTAAAAGGTACTGTAAAAGTGCTTCATGTTAGAAATACTGCCTGAACTCTTTAGGAACGCATCCCAAAATCCCAAAGACAAAGGCTGAAGGACTTTGGGAAAGGAAATGGTTGAGGAGCAGGAGAACGGCATTTCCAAGCGTGAGATCTTGCACCTCTGGGAGCGCTCTGACATGTAAGACAGAGGGCAGAACGAAAGGGGGCTCTGAAACAGGGACACCACCATTATTCACTGCTCGTGTGTTAACCAGCTGACATGTCGGAAATAGGATCAAAGCAATATCGCTTCCAGCTCAGCTTCGGTGAGTCTGGTCACCTAAGCTGATGAGAAGCTCCTAGGTAAGGAAAACCGATGTGTCTGCCTATTGCTTGTTGAAGAAAACAGGTTACATAAATACTAAAGAAGTCTATTTGAAGACACAGTGATAATTCGTACTAACACATTGGGAGTGATTCTTTTTTTTTACACACGTCACTGGCAACAGCACGTTAAACCTATGCTGCATCTCAGCTGTGTTTACCACCCTGTTATTTCCAGTTCATCTTAAAGGGAAATGGTACCCTTCAGTCACTGATGGGGAACACTTGCAAATGTTAAACAGTTAGAACGTGTCATCACACGATCTAAGCTCTTTTTTTTTTTGCAACGGACATCTGTGGCATAACATTGACAGCAAAACCAGTTAGTGAATGTGGTTAATAGACACCTTTCGCACAGTTATGATGCCTTCCTGTGTGTCCTTCTGTGTCATGATATCAAACATATCTGTCCCATCACCATCTATAATTCTGTACTCTACTTCTGCATTTTTTCCAGTGTCTGCATCTGTGGCTTTGACGCTGCCAATGGCTGTTCCAACTGGGGAGGACTCGGGAATGCGCAGGTGGATGGTACCTGTCAAAGAGACAAAGAGCAGCTCAGGAGCCCCACAAACCACTACACAAGCATTAAGTAACTCTGTGTCACACAATAGCTGATTACATATTTTTGTGTATCTTTTATTGTAGACAACTTGCTGTTTAATATGGGGAGGATGGAAAAATGTGAGGCAGAGAACTACGCAGAGGGAAACTTTAGGTAGAAAACTGAAAACAAAATCATAGAAAAACGGGATTGAAAACAACCTCTATTCTCCTATCTCTCAGAAGAATCAACTATGTCTGTACTTTTTTTGTCTAGGTCATTCCTGAAACATCATCTGGAAAGTCTGCTCTGTGTTCTTTTTCAGGCTTCACTCTGCTTTTCTTCCCTTTAATATCTAAGGTGAATCTTTGGGATACATTTTTCATCTATTTTGTCATGTAAGCAATATAAAGAACAGAATCTCCAACTTTGATGGCCAATTCTAAGCAGCAGACTGACATTTCAGCTTTCAAAATTAGATAGTCAGACAAAATATAAAATAAATTAGAATGACATCTTAATGCAGGGGTAGGTTTTTGAAAATCCACAAACAGAAGTTATGCATATACTTGTTAAAGCAGCTAATTCACACTTAAATAAGGCTTATGAACATTGCAATTTTGGTTTTGTGGTACTTTTTCTAGCTCAGTTTTACTTCTTTATTGTAGTGTCATACAGCTGATAAAAACACATAGAAATAAAACTGTCACCATTCAGGCAAGCTGCTATAAATTGAAATAAATATCTTGCTATGCATTTTAGTATTCTATTCCTATTTCACTTACTGTGAAAACTGTAAATAGGCATCGAGATCTTTGGTCCTATCTGTCAGAAGATAGAGTAGGAAAAACACATGGGATACATAATGCACTATGAAGAATTTTCAGATTTTTTTGTTTAAATGAATGCAGATACAGCTGTATTTCCAAAGATGAAAATTATGTCACCAAAACTCTATTGAAGTAAAATAGGTAAAAAGGATGGTTCAGTTAACAGCAACACACAAGTGGAAATGGTAAAAACCAGGAAAAAAAATGGGAAAAAGTTGACCAGGCAACCCAAAAGGCAGCACATATATACCTCGTTACAAATAAGAAATACAGAGAAGTCCGCAAAGGGAGTTACTATTTTTATGTGATCAGGAAGAATCGTGGGCAGAGAGCAGTGGCAGGTCAGCACAGGAAGGCCACTGGCAACATGATCTTGTCACATCTTCAGGAAAGCTCAGGTAAGGATTCTCAGTATCTCTCGACAGACTATTTTACCAGGAAGCTACAGAGTGACATAGGGAGCTGGTTTTGGGAACAGTCATTGAAAAAAACTTCTATTACTCTTTGGAATGTTTGAATCTCTCATTCTACAGAGCTGTTTTTTCTGTTTGTTATGTTATAGTTTCCCAAACCTAAAAAAAGAGCAAAAATTAAAAAAAATAAAACACATCCATGTATAATTTGTAATTAAATGTTCTATGGAAAGTATATAAATTTAACTTCTACATACAAACTGATACCCAGCAGCAGAATTAATACTTTATGGCCGTATATACTCCACATTCTATTAATATGAATTTATTTTTGCTCAGTTACATGTTTCAATCTAGTGATTTACCTTGCATTTGCTCTGACATTTTCATTACCTTTCTCTAATACCTAAATCTGTGTACTTTGCTACGTTAGTATATAATCTCTCTGTAATCGCCTAATGGTTAAAAAACAGAAGAAAAAATAGCCTCTGCTCCCATTTACTATTTACTCAGTAATGTGTGAGACTACGGTGAAAGACCCACTTTTTATTCCAATTAATATTTATATGTTATAATTAGTTTTATGGTATGTCAGCTATTCCCCACGTTTTTGGTTTTTTTTTTTCTGGCGTGCTTAAAACTACATCCCCAAGCTATGCCTTGTGGACACTACTTTGACTCCCACTGCATTATCCAACTCATTATTTTAGTCTACCAAGCGGTAAGAGCTCGTATCTTGAATTGCTAATAATGTACTGGAAAAAGAGAGTGAAAATATCCAGAAACCTTTCTCCTGAAAGATGATTTTATGTCTAACCTGTCCATTTATAGAAAACTCTGCTATAGTATGAGGCACTTTGTTTTCTTATTTTAATCACTGAAGACTTTTAATGCGTGGACTAAATATGTGATACAGTGGAGCTTTAGACAGTGTATCAGAAAGCAAACTACACCAAACTAGCAGTGTTCTTGGGAAACTGCAGTCTCTCACTTCTTCCTCAAGGGGAATAATTCACTGTTTGTATTTACTCAAGTGAGTGATATTCTCACGTTTGTCTGTCAAGAATAAAAATGGGAGGACTGAGAAAAGGAAAAGCTTTTCCATATACTAAGGGGACTGGAAATCAGCTGGAAGATTAAAGTCTACACACCTCTGAAAATACTTCAGTCAGTCATAACAGATTAAAAAGCAAGCTTATTCATGTTTACTCTTCTTTCAATTTACTCTTGAATAAATATGTGATGCCAAGGTAAATATTTTTATAGAGTAATACAGGCTATAGTCTCAGAGGAAGGCTGTCATAAATCAGATGCACGGAATTTCAGCCAGAGTCAGGCACCTCAGTCCATAAACCACTTTTTCCATTTTCATTGGTCAACACCAACTCCTTACTTCTGAGAACACTTGGAAATATTAGAGTTAAAACAGAGACCCAGTATCTGAGGTCTTTGATGGCCTTTCTAAGCAGAATCCTGATAACATTTTGAATTTTATTATGTTTTCTCAGGAGGACAGCCACTGCTACCTGTATGGTTTTCAGGAGTGGTTTAAGAGGAGACAAATATTCTGAAGAGTCCTTAGTCTGTAATCTAAACAAGAGAGGAATTAATGGCTTTTCTGTGTTTTGGTGTTTTTTTTTTTGTGAAAAAGTATGATAAAATACAATACGTAAAATTTTCCACAATTCTAGTATGTATTTCCTGTGGGAGAAGTTTAACCTGTTATGAAATGTTTTATTAAAACATATGGCTAATATGCTGAGTTCTGTGAAAACATAATGGCGTTTTTAATATTCTTGCTGGTAATTTATAAGTCCAATATGAAAATTATTGTCTCATGAACTTAATACATATCCATTCTTCATTAATGGAAAAGAATAGGAATAATTCAACTTAATAAGTATGAATTCCAGTAGTCTCATTGAACTCTATTAAAATCAGGAATCATTATAATGTCTGTTTGCATTTTAAGATTAAATATAAAGATTTTTTTGAAGTCAATAGCTATTTTTACATCAACATATCTAGTAAAGTGAGTCAGGTTTATAAACATTTTAGTTTTCCTTTCCAGTGAAACATAGATTTTTATCTACCAGAGCTATTGGCAGAGAGGTAGTAGAAAGCAAAACAAAACAAAATGAGAAAAAACAACAAATCATGAGAGTAAAACTAAAAGGTTTTTTTCAAAACAAAGGTCATGTGATTTAAATTGGCAATAAGGAAATACAGAGATATGTCTGAGATGTTACATCAGATCCTCATTTGACTCGATTATGATGCTGAACTTCCAGATAAGTCATGTAAAAATAGTCTAGAACGTTGACTTCATCATCCTAAGTAATAATTTAGTATACTGTTTAAGAAACAAACAAAAAAAAAGAGCATAAATATGCACGTTTGATGTTTATTGTGCTGTCTTAAAGTTAGCTGTTGGAATTAGCTTTGAACATGACACCTCTTTGAGTAGTCCTCCTCAATAGGGCCAGAGAGGAGCAATAGAGCATTCATCAGCTACACAGCGCTGGAATTACTATAATCTTCTATATACAAATGGAAACAAGAAAAATAATAAATCAATAAGTTGTGGAAATACAAAGAACAAAAAATGACAAAGTAACAATCAATTCTGTCAAGAAAGGCCCTGTGTGGCCATGCACAAACTGTAAGTACTCAACTGTTCAAGATTTTTCTATTCCGAGTGTGTAAATGAAATCACATGCTGATAAACATCTTACCTAAACACATATATATTAACTACAATATTAAATTTAATAAAATTATGTACTCCATTTGTGTCATGAAGAGTATGTTAAAATCAAAGTAATTTGAAGCTGATTCTGTTATTTTGAGCCTGAAGGCTGATCATCACTAACTACTAGATTCAACAGTTATACAAAATAGAAAATGGGTGTTGAGCATACTCTAAATCCTTTAGCTATTAAGCATGTGCGAACCATCTTGCACATACTACTTCAGTATATGCAAAAGGCTTCAAATGTATTTAAAATGCTTAACTTTTAATGTTTGATGTTACATAGTTATAACATTTTCATATTACACAGAGACTAAGAATGTTTTATATTTGAGTTTGAGGACACAAAGTCTTGATAGCTGTACTGTCAGAGGTTAAAAAACATTGTAAAAAGCTCTGGTAAACTTAGGCTGTAAAAAAACCCCAACCGACCACAAAGTTAAATGCCATTTACTTTACTTTAGGAAATTTTCTATTAGGTTATGTAGGACCATAACTGAAAAAGTACAAATCTGCTTGATTCCCCTCAAGTAATTTCTTTTCCACGTTTTTTGTGATTAAATATTTAAGTAGATACTATGATTCAAATATTTCTGCATCTCTAGAATTACTACATGTTTTCTTTTCCAGTGAGGGAGTGTGTAGATTTAAGCAATAGGTAACTGAAAAAACCTCTCATTGCTCTAATGCTCTTATGAGTCCACCTACCGCACCTTGCCATAATACTGGAAAGTATTCCAGGCTTGCTGCAGTTATATTTGACCATGTAACTGTTTTCCTGACAAACAAATGTTGTAACATTTAATATACTGCTTTAATAACAGTGAATAAATCAGTACATAAGCCTTTTGTTCATGTGTGCCCCATAATCTAGATTTTCTCTAAATTAAACCAGATGGTGATTGCTTAACTCTTTAGTCTGAAGCTCTTACAGTGTAAGGCAACTATTAAATGCAGCTTACTCTGGGGGAATCGAGGCGGATTGTCGTTGACATCAGTCAAAGTGATGTTCACGGTGGTGGTCCCTGATAATCCACCCATCTGGCCTCCCATGTCCTTTGCCTGGATAACTACTTGGTACTGCTCCCTGTTCTCTCTGTTCATGTTTGGCAAAGCAGTCCTGATGATGCCTTAAATAAATAAATAAAAAAATTGTTAATAATCTATCTTTTTTTTTTATGTGCAGTTGTCTGTGAAACAGATTTCTAAGATATTCATTTAGTGTTTAAAAGTACAAATTTCTCTTAGTAAGTTTTAGAGATAGTCTTCAGTATAGATTATCTCTTTGTTGAACAAATCTTAATTCTAGATCACAGCTCCCTTTCCAGTTTGTATTTCATGTTAAAAATGATTCAGGGTATTCATGCAGAAGGTTTATTAATAGAAAGAACATCTTTTATTAGTTGAAGTAGAATAATTATTAAGAAAAAAACCCAACATTTTTTAGAACATAAACTTTTATTCTTGCCTTTATTAGACATGTAGTTACCTATATCCTTAAGGCTCAATAGTACCACTGTAAAGTAACTTATACTTCATAGTGTCAGCTGTAACAACTCACAAGTTTTAATGCTTATTACAAAAATTATAAATTATGAGGAAAAACCAAAGAAATATTTCACTTCAATTATTTTTAACATCTATTTTTTACATGATCTAAGATTTTTAAAGACAAAGTCTACAGTTTATAGTAAGAGGGAATAATGACAATTTTCCTGACCTGTTTCTGGTTCCACAGAGAAATAGGGTTGTCCCTGAAGTATGCTATAAATTATTCTGGCACTGTTTCCGTATGAAGGATCATCGGCATCAGTAGCTGTAACTTGCACGACAGAAGTACCTGAAACATCCAAAATCAAGTTAGTTTTACATGGTACTAGGTGGAGATCTGTGACCATCCAACTTCCATTCAAGCAGACCCCAAAGAAAATGTCAGTTAATGTCGATTGTACTTGCCTATTTCAGAATCTCATTCTACATAAATTGTATCTAAACTTCCCTAATCCCACAAGCACGATTAAGGTGTAATTAGCAAAGGTAAACAATAGCTGTGATTGAGCCGAATTCTTATCCTTACCCAGCTACAATCATTTCATACTTACATACCTTTTTATTTTTTATTATTTTTGTCCAAAGCATGAAGGAACATGACAGAAAAAGATTATTAAAAATGTCATTGAAACTTGGAAACAACTAGTTCTCCCTACCTTGTAAGTGTTAATACAGATTGATACTACTGGAAGAAGTATTAACATGTGGACTTTGAAATTTGCTGGTTATTTAAAATCCAAAAAAATTTCTAATCTTGAAGACCATTTTGAAATTTTAGTGGAATATACAATTCCTTCAAACCATAAAATGCTTATCATTGCCTCTGACGTTTATTCCCTATTCTACTTCTATAAAGTGTTTAGGCAAGAAGTGAAAAAAACCAAAGAAAATAAATCATCATATGCATGTGACTGGTTAGCCACCAGCTATTCTGAGGATCAAAAGACTTTCAGGCATACTTCTCCTTTTATCCCAATTATTTCCCTGCACCAACTATTGGCAAATACTGTGAAATAAAGCACTTGTAAATCCAAGGCACTTTGCAGACCTGTTTAATCTCTCATAGTTTGACTACATTACATGTTTATGGCAACATACACAGAAAGGCAAATAGAAGTAAATGCTAAGCTTCCTCAGTTTGCTTGGGTTTTCACAAGATGACAGCAAGTCATGAACAACAGCACCAATATCAGTGGAATGAGTCTGTGCCCGACTGTTGAATCAGAGATGAATTCTCTGAGATGTTGTTTTCAGCTGTTTTATAGCAAAGCACTTGATCCAGTGAGTCTGTAAAAGTACAGGCATCTCATAAAGAAGGCATAATAGGCAAATTTCTGGTTATATTATTAACGATACTAAAATGAATTTAGTCACCAAACAAAGTTAACAGAACAAAGCCTTGAACAGAAAATATTTCTTCTTTTAAAAAAATCGCTGAAGAAGTATAATGGTTGCTTTAGTGATCCTCTAGTCTAGGGCTGTAACTGAAAATTGGAACACTTTTTAAAAATGAACGTAGGAGTGATAGAGCTGTCCTAAAAACTTCATCAGTTTTCAATTCACAAATTTCTCTCATCTCCAGCCACACTGAACTCCATTTGTAGATATGTATCTATGTAACTACTCTCTTAAAAGACACAGAGGCCTTTTTGATGATATTTAAGTTCTGAGGAGTGTTGCCATGATTCTGTAGTGCACTTTTTGGACCATTCTAGTACGTAGCAAATTGCAGTGCAAGAATGCATATTTGCTCTGAAATAGAGATGTTGCGTAAAAGGAAGATAAAAACAAATCATGTTCAGTAACTTTGAGTTAAAAAAAAGGAAAAAAAATCAAACAACCAAGTACACCGATCAACGTGGCATTGTCCAAGAAAAGTTTTCAGATTTGCCATTTTATATCCATAAAAACAGAGAACAGTCACTGTCAAGGTGTCTATCACAATAGCACAAGGTATTAATCAGGAAAGTCTACATTGCAAACCCATGAAAGGTGATACTTTGTCTCTATTACATGTAACTGAATTATTTCTTGTTTCTAATTTTCACATTTCCTTCATATGTCTTTAACCTAGCAGTATTTATTAATAGGTCAATTGTATGAGATTTTTATTTCATTTTAGTTTAAAAAACACGCAGAATCAACTTGGAAGGGTAATTTGGATAAAAACTGAGGAATGCGTTTAATAGCTTTAAATTTAAATAAAAATCCAATTTGCAATGTAATAATGTATGTCTAATTCTGCTTTAGTCAAGAGTCTCCTAATGCACATATACTATATTAACTAATGCTATTTTAATTCACATACACTTGAAACAGAAGAAATCGTATCAGCTATCCTTCTCTCTAGCTGCAATGAGCATGGCTGAATATACACAAAACAAAATCTATCAGACACTTCTGAAAACTGTAGATTTGATCCTGTTCCTTTTAAACTCTGTGGGAAGAGGCTTGGGGTCCTAAACTCCATCACTGTCACGCAGTGCGATTTACTCAGCGGGTTGTGCTCAGGGTAATGGCCACCCCGTGACCCAAAAGCAGTCAGGATGAACACCACTTTTTAATGTCACCTCTGCTCTTTGGCTCTTGCTGGCCAGCCACCAGTCAAGCATCTGGCATAAATCATGCAAGGGCACCTCTACACTTCTGCCTGTCATTCAGGATGCAGAATCACAGAATGCTAGGGTTTGGAAGGAACCTCTGGAGATCATCTAATCCAACCACCTGCCAGAGCAGGTTCACCTAGAGCAGGCTGCACAGGATGGCATCCAGGCAGGTTCTGAACGTCTCCAGAGACAGAGACCCCACAACCTCTCCGGGCAGCCTGTGCCAGTGTTCTGCTACACTCAGAGTAGTTCCTCCTCATGCTTAGATGGGACTTCCTATGCTCATGTTTGTGACCATTATCTCTTGTCCTGTGACTTGGCACCACCAAAAAACCACTGGCTTGATTTTGGCCCTTGCTCACAAAAGGAAATGGAAGAAGACATGCTCTCTAGGCTTCCACTGAGGGATCAAATCTGACAGAAACCATGTCAAGGAGCAAACAGGATATCACTGTATCACTACATCAGTTATGCTGTGCGCATCAGCTGCCAAACCATTAGCTTGTTTTCCTTTGCTTCAGTTCCTGAAGTCACTGAAGACCACTGATATTATAAATACATTGTTTGCTCTTGTCTGAAACTTGGGCCAGAAATCTGCAGGCATTGAGGATGACCACTTGTGCCAGGGCTTAGAAACTACAGTGTGGATGTGACTTATCACCAGCACTTGGTCTGGGCCTCACTTTGTCTTTTACGTAGGCAGAGATTGCTCGTGATGAAGTTAGTAAGAGTCCTTGGCTTTCAGGATCTAAAGTCTAATCTGAACTCTATAGGAGTGCAAAAAGGAGAGAGTGATAATGTACTGGAGAATATGGAACCAGTTATGTTGTTAGTAAGACTTATGATTTCTTTGTGTACACTTGCAAATTTTACTGTATTATAAACCAAACTATATAGTGGTGAGATAGGCTCAGAAATAGTCATTTGTCAGATTATTGTAGTTCTTAGAAGGCAAATTTTAATGACAATGTTTGAATCTCCCTTGGGTCCAGTACTATAGTAGTAATTAATATATTTGGCCCTTTTTGACATGTTCCTTGCAAGCATCTTTAAACCTCATACAACCATTAATGACTTTGATATCACAATGCATTTATGATGTAGACATATTAGATAAGAATCACTGAAGATAATTAGCTTGGAAAAACAATACAAAGTGTTTCCACTGTAGAGCTGAATTTGAAACTTACACTTCCTTTTCCTTACTCCCAAGTAATATATTTAACCAGAGCAAGTACCCTCCATAGTAAATTATCCATACAAATAATAAGGTGAATTAATATAAATTTTCTGCACGTTCTAGCAGAAAAGAGAGGAAATAATAACACATGTGCTCCCTTGAAATAAACTATTTAATCCAGCAGAATTACAGAGAAGAAGAGGAGAGGGTTCCGTATTCAGAGAAGTTGATGTCAGGAAGGTCTTTGGCTATATGATACCCCTGCAACCTGGAAAACAATAACCTGGAAACAAGTACAAACCCAGAAGGAAGTTACATCTTCTGAGGCATACATTGACATCTCTAATTCAGAAGCAGAGAAGACCACCTAGGGAGCGTGACAGAGCACAGAAATAGCGCTTGTCTTGGTTTGAGAGCACCAGGATCAAAGCACAATCACCATTAATGGGGGAGAGGGGGCAGCTGCACCTATGTGGAGGAGAGTATGGGTCAGGTGACCCAAATGGACCAATCATGGCATTCATCCCCATGGTGCTCACTATAAAAGGGCCTCTAAGAAGAGCCCTGGGGCCTTTATTGTTGTTGTGGTAGGAGGATTGCTATGGGCTGACTGTCATATCTACCTGTGCTGCTGCTGTTCCTACCTCCTGGTTTCACAGTGCAGAGGAGCACTGTTCATTAGGACAGGTTGTATTGCTTGGCCTACCCCTTAGGTAGGAGCGACACAGCTTTTCTTTTGTGGTCTTTTTTGGGGTTTTTTGACTGTCATCAGGACTCTGGGCTTGGCCAATCCTATCTGCAGCTGAATCCAGTCTGGGACTTTTCTGCTCAGGACCTAGTTGTCATTGAAGGGCATGGGTTCTGTATTAATGTATTCTCCTGTATCTTTGAAGATATTTGTATTCTTGCATAACGTCTCCCTGCAGTTTAACATCTTCATTGTTATTGCTAGTATTAAGTTTTTCAACCTCAAAATCTATCTCCCTTGTTCCCCTGTAATCCTCCCTGGGAGTGTGGTGGTGGGATCACAGAGAGCATCTGTCAGAGTTTAGGCGTTGGCCCAACCTTAACTTCATCGTATTTATTGGTGCCCAACAAGGAGCAAGAACCAATTTTGTATTTCATAGCGTTATGAACTTTAATATTTTTGTATTAGATTTTTTCTTTGAAAGGTTGGGAAAAAACCCTCAACAGTTATTAATGTGGTTCTAGGTGAAATATTATACTATGTTCCTAGGGATTTTGGATTATGGTCAACTGTCACATTGCTTCCTAATCTCTCCTATATGTTATTATCTAGGCCTTTTCAGTGTATGTTTATGGCTTTTTTTGTTCAGGTGCATTGGGCAAAGGGCACTGGTTTTATGTTGTGTTTAATGCCAGTCATCTAATCTGCAGTAAGTTGGATGGTGGCTTCAGGCTGCCTAGGGCACTACCTGCTAAGTCTTATTGCTAATTATACTTACGGCTTTTTCATGGGAAATAACACTTTTCTTCTTTTCACCGAACTGACTCACAGTTCTGGAAATTGTTCTCTTTGTTTCAATTTGCTAACCTTATTATTGTTTATTGTTAATATGTTTCAGGAGTGGTTTATTACTAGAATGCATTGATGCAGGTGTTGTATAACAGTGCTGAAGATGCAGTATGGACAGGATAAGGAATGATTAGAGAATATATAGGCTACAACAGAGGAACAGAGAAATATTAACAAATAAGAGAGAACATGGTGATAAAATAAAGGTCTAAATAGCAGAAAGTTCTGAAAACTTGACTAAAAGTTACCAATAGGTAAAATCCACGGGAAAAGATGTATAGAGGAGAATACTCATCTGCAGCTGTGAAAACTGAAATATCGGTCATTACCAATTTACCCTGTTATTAACAGATATGATGGCAGACTGATGCAATGAATGATACGTGCAATTTTGTCAGAAACTTAAAGCGTATGACAAGAAACACAACAACTTTGAACTCTGTCTGCTATCTGCATGATACAGGGTATCTGTAGCAACGAGGCATATGAGTTAATTTATGTAGTATAGTATGCTGCCACAGCTGTCTTTCTGGTATTTAAATGAGGGCATATAATGTTAATATGGACATCTCACCACTGTGGTGGCAGCACAGATGTGTACAAATAGACAACACGGTTGTAAAACTACAGAATAATTGACTATTTCTTTGACACTTAGAACAGAGATGAGATTAAGCTCGGCCATTTGCAAAAGTGATATCCAGTCATGAGATTGAGGGTGCAGGCACCAGATGATAGTAGAGCTCTTGAGAATGCAGCCTCAGAATAACATATCAGAGGCCCCAAAGGCATAAATGTAAGTTGCAAGTTACTAGCTATATTACAGGCTGACTTGTATATCAAGTCTAAAAAATAAAAGAACAAATATCTAATGTGTCAAACATCACTTGTATGGTGAAATTACAAAGATACCATCTAAAGGATGTAAAAGATGATGGCAACTTCTGTAATAATTGAAATCAATAAACAATTCCAGTGTTGTCCTCTCCAATAAAGGACCCGATATCTGATCAATATTACCATCTGTCTGCAGCAGGTCTTCTTTCACCCTTGGTAGTAAAAAAGACATGCCTTTTCATATGCTACTCACCACATTTTGCTATTACAACTTACCAATCATATTAAGAAAAAAATGTTTTCTATATAGTTAAATAATTTTTAGAAAATTCTAGTAAAAAATAAAGGTTTTCTTAAAGTAATGTTTGTGCTGTGCCTGTCTAGTGCTCCAGTCTTCCCACCTGATAAAGTAGTTGAGAGTAAACTATCAAGTGCGGATACACAGTAACAGGAGTGTGAGGCATTCTATAGACTTTTAATTAATAGTTCTATCATAGTATTATAGAATATCTCAAATTGGAAGGGACTCAAGCTCCTTGTTTCTCGCAGGGCTTCCTAAAACTAATCCATGACTAAAAGCATCATCCAGATGTTCCTTGAATTCTGACCGGCTTGGTTCCATGACCACCTCCCTGGGCAGGCTGCTCCAGTGACTGCTCACCCTCTCTGTGAAGAACCTTTTCCTAATGTCTCATCTGAACTTCCCCTGATGCAGCTTCATTCTATTTCCTCGTGTCTTATTGTGTTGGTCACCAGAGAGAGATCAGCACCTCCCTCTCTACACCCCACCTTGAGAAAGTTGTAGATTGTGATGAGGTCACCCCTCAGCTTTCTTTCTCCAAGTTGAGTAAGTCAGGTGACCTCAGCCACCCTTCCTAAGTCTTGCCCTTAAAACATTTCACCGTCTCTATCACCCTCCTCTGGAAACACTCCAGTAGTTTGATGTCATTCTTATATTGAGGCACCCACACCGGTACACAGTACTCAAGGTGGGGCTGCACCAATGCAGTGCAGAGTGGACGATCGCCACCCTTGACCAGCTAGCAATGCTGTTCTTGGTGCACCCCAGAGCACGATTGGCCCTTTTGGCTGTGGAGGCACGCTATTGACTCAGATATAACTTGTCATCAAGTCGAACACCCTAATTTCTTAAATTAGTGTTATGAAGAAATGAATCAATTTTGAGGAATACTATATAAAGCCACATCATCTACTTATGGACCACAGATGAATTGAAGCCTCTAGGGATCAGCCATAAAGCTAAAAGCAATTCTATCTTTCAGGTAGTCAGTAGTCTAGCAGCTGAATGACCATATTTATAAAATCCAAGAATATGATAGGTTTTAACTTTCAATTCCCTAAATTAGGGTCATTTTATTGATGGAATAAAGTCTATTCTTTTCAGCACAATTGTTTATGCAGAATACAGGCTTAATTCTCAAAATACATTCAAGCTGTTTTTGTACCCATTAGTGTAGTTTTTTGGATATTTTTCTTATTTTATCTTTTTCTTATGTTTTTGCATTTCCAAAATTTGTGATCTATGTGGACATACAATGGAACCTCGCCTCTTGAATAATTTATATTCATTGAAATTATGTTTTGGATGTCTGAGAACACTGAAGAATAAGATGAAATTTATGTAATTGTGACTGACAAAATTAGGAATCAATGCATTATAACAATGTTGTATAATAGCAAAATATTTAATGAAAACACTGTGTAATTTTCATAAAATCTCTTTGAGTGTATTTTAAGCAATGCCTTCTGAAATTTATAGAAAGAAAATGAGAAATAAAGTGGAAGCTATAAGACATCTTTTTTCAACCCTACTGTAATCTTGGCATATGCCTCTCTAGAAAAATGCAGCAAAGCCCTTTCAAGATGCTCTGCCTAAAATTGTGTGCACTTACTGAAGTAGATGATTCTGGAGTACTGAGCAGTAAATAAATCAGTATTACATTTTGTTCTACTTTGGAACAGTAAAGGAAGAAGACTTTTCAGTTCTGCTCTTTATGTGGACTAGTTTGATGGGCTTCCAGTACAGCCCTACCCAATTGTGTGACACATTTGACCCATCCTCTCCTCCCCATGGGCACAGCTGCCCTTCCTCCCCTACTGTGATAACCACCAGTGCCAAGCAGCTCCAGGGGATTTTTTTCCTCTTTTTTAAAATTTATTTTATTTTTCCTTTATACTAAAAACTGTTTACTAAATGTTAGGACTTTTAAAAATTATTCAATCATAAACTAAAAGCAGACTGAAATATTAAGAACAGAAAACTATCGGCATCATGCTTCCACACACTGCTGCACAGCTGTGCTGAGGCCATTTGCTTTCAATAATTTTAAATATATGTATATATATTCTTTCTCTTTTAATATTTTCCAAAGCCAAAGAAACTAAAAGATGCAAAACATCTGAAAACACTGTTTCATCTAGTTCTAGTAGTAATTAAAATAATAATAGCCTGAAGAAGTATTGAAGTTATTGTGTGCTGTCTGAATATTTAGAAATTAGTATTATATCTACAGTTATGCAAACAATAAGTGAATATTAACTTTTAAAAAGAGACTATACATTTTTAAACTTTCCATTTTCTAATGAATTGTATGTGCTAATTAACAATAACTCATATTCTAAAATGTTATTGTTTATGAATTTGTCTAGCTGGCATCATCCAGGCCACAATTTTGTAGTTAAGCTAGGAACTGAAAATACACTGAAAATACATTGCAAAGAAAAGAAAGACTAACTCAAACAGCTGCTTAAGATTCTTGAAGCTGCTATTCATGAGTGAGTTAATGGAGGAACTGAAAACACGAGAGCATTCTTCCATACACTAAAAAATCAAAAGCAAGAGGATAAAGGTGTTTACCTTCAGGCAGTGCATCAACACCACAGGAGAAAACATCTTGCTCCTCTCAGCCACAGAAAGAGTGAAAGTGGAGACAGCTCTCCATTCAGTACTCATCACCACTGGGGAATCTAAGTAGCAATAGTTCTCGAATCATAAAAATCTGTTTCTGAGTGCAATTCCAGTATTTGCACAAGCAAGTCAAAATGAAAAACACATAACCCACACAAGATTCTCAGCATGACTGAATTTTCAGAGGATGAGGAAATTATTCACCAGTTACCACAGAGCAGACATTTGTACCTCAGCACAAAGTACTCACCCACTACTGACATTTCAGGAACACTAGCAGTGTAAATTTTTTCTGGAAATGTTGGTTCATTGTCATTGATGTCGTGGATTTTGATGACAAACTCAGATTCAGGTTCCACTGGTCTCAGAGTTCTTCTGTTAATAGCTTGGGCACGCAGGGTATAAAAGGCCTTCTCTTCTCTGTCAATTCTCCGGGTAGCATGAATGTCACCTGTTTTCTCATCAATTATAAAAAGAGTACCAGCCCCATCTCCTGACAAAATGTATTTGAGGGATCCATCTCCTTTGTCCTGATCAGAGTGAAGCTGAAAAGGTAGAAAAATAAGAGCATTCTATTTAGAAATAATGAAAAGTGGGTTTTTAAAAATATTTTTAAATTATTAGATATTAAATCATTGTGCATTTAACAAATATTTAATACCAACAAAGTAAATAGTTTTCAGTCTCCACTGACTGGCAGCCGTGGTGTAATACTGAGGCATTTCTTTCCTAACTTAACTACAAGAATCTTTTCACTTGAATGTGTGGCAGATTTTAGTTTTGCAGCAACACCTGTTCTCTGCTAAGAAACCTTTTCACCACAATTCTTAAAGAAGTTTTTTATGTTAATACTGACCTTTTCCTTCCTTGAAGAGATCCTATTAAAAATTCACAACCTGCTATGCTAGTTGTAAATTCACTAAGCAGATAAAGAACATGGTAGAATACATGACAATTAAGGAAAATAGAACAATTGGTTCGATGTCATACTAATGCTTTTTAAAATTTTATTTTATATTATTTATATTTCTCCTGGACAGGAAAATACTGCATTTTAAGTCATTATAATTTTCACTCCATCAACTAATGTAAAAAGCTTAAGAGAAAGAAACAAATTTATTAAGCATTCAGTGTTGATTTAATACCCGTTATGTAAGTAATAGAAAGCTTAACTTCATCTGTTAGTGTCCTGTAGTGCTGACTGACTTACTTCCATAACAAAAAAAAATATTCAATTATATTGCTTTGTTAATACATTAATGTGGTTGGCTCATATGATCTTTTGGATACACTTACTATAATTTTTCTCATCAGCTTGCTGGAAATTTCCTTCCAATCTCACTGACTTCATAATTCACTGAAAGAGTCTGTCATTCAGACTGATTTTCACCATGAAATGTATTTTTTTTATAGTTTTGTTTTTAGCAGAAGAATCAAAACAAGTAGAAGCTCTGATTACAAAACTTAAGTGCAAATCATACGCAAAAATCATCAGGATGTTCCTAAAAGTTTGAGAAATTCAATTTTTCCTTTCTAAAAATAGTTATTTGAAAACACATTAACGACATCAATTAGAACTTCATGAAGATCATAGTTAGTCATGTGAACCTTTTTTTTGCTAATTTAAGCTCACATTTCAGATCATGAATAACATTATATATGGAGCTTAGTATAAGTTTTCCCCTGGCATGTGGTGACAGAAATACTTCTTATTTTTTTGTCTTTGGTGTCCTCATATTGTCTTCCATAGGATTTGTTTTAAGTCAGTGTCAGAGGTAGAATATTGAACCTGGCTTTCCTTGCCTTTTGTACTGAAACCAAACACAGACTGGACTGGTGGGATAAACTGAAGTCAAACAGTAAACTTTTCTGCCATGAAACATTTGTAAACACTGAATGTTTCCCCCACACTTTCAACATATGGAACAGAAGGGGGTCGTGGAATCTTGGATCAAAGGCTTTATGATAGAAATTTAGAAAACTATCATTCTTCTGAACTTTAATTGTCTATGTATAGGTTTTCAGTTCAGAAATAAACCTAGAGAAACAATGTAAATATTTATCAGTGAATAATAAATTAAACTTTGCTTACATTACATATCTGTATGTTTACATTACAAAAATAGACATGTTCTTACTACTTAATTTATTTACTCCTCTAATAAATAAAGAAATAGGAAGCTCCACCAAAAAAAAAAGGTAAAGTGTATGTTAAAAGAGATGTTTTGCAAATAAATCCTCTGCTTTCTTTTCCTTCTGTTTCTCTACTGACTTCAAATTGAAGATTAAGTCCTTCTCACTCCTCTTTTGGGTATTGAATTTTTACTGTGGTCTTTAATACCTTATTCTCCTCTCTTGATGATCCACTGAAGTCGTGACCTTTCATCGTTCTAAGTAACATTCTTTTTAGGGGACTGGACAGCATCTTTCCGGTGGTGGCCCATTTTATAATGTCGTTTAGTGTATCTAGTCCTCAAAAACCTTTTAAGTGTTTTCTTCTTCAGGTCTTCATACAATACCAACTTATCTTCCAAAATGTTTTGGTCCTAAGAATTCACTGGAGGTCCATGACAACTAGATACAACATTTCCACAGCAGAGTGGAGAGCAGTTATACGAGGCTGCTCTTCCTCAAACATATACACTAGAAATACAAAATAAAGGCCTGTTTGAGCAAGAAAGATTGGGAGATAAAAAATAAATATCTTTAAATGGGCAGTCTGCAGTTTTTCTATATGCTTTCTCAAGCCAGCTCCAGTATTATAAATTATTATATAAGTTGACAATAGTACGTTGAGGCTGAAGTGCCAGTTCTTTAATGCAAAAACCAGCAGAGTCTGGCAAAAACCGTTCTGATAAATTCTCTATATCCAGGATAGCATAACTCCATGCAAACAGTTACCAGGAATAGTATCTGGACAAATATATGCATGGAAATTATTTTGGAGACTGATATTTAACAAAAGCATGCCAAGAACTTGTAAAATATTTTAGCAATCCCAGTAACTGCATTCTGGTGCACGAGTATGCTGCCTGGCACTAGAAGAAAAAGTTGTGAACAGAAATCAGAAAATAAAGAGAGGCCCTACACTACAGAATATGAGGCTTTTGAACAATATATTTAGATTCAGTTCAGGACATAAATATCTTTTAACATGCATTTGTTTAATATATAAGATACTATGAATGTTAACGATTTTTCACTCCTTCTCCTGTAGCTATGTATGTATTAAAGATTCTTATTGAGTTGATTTGGAAGTGAAAAATGTTATTTTTGCAGCACTCAGAAAATCATTGATCTCTTATATCTACCAAATTCAAACTCATTATTTTTTTTTCTCACCTATATTAGCTAAAAAGTAGAAAGGGAGCTGAATATACGATTTTGAGAGATCCAAATAAAGGCTTTTAGGGATCTGATAGCTGCACTTTAGAGTAACATATTTATGAGGAATATGAACCTGCTTATTTAGAAGAATACTTTAAGCTACAATATTTAGCATTTTCTAAAAAATGTTAATTTCTCTTCGGATTGGCAATCCACTTTAAATTTTATGTATACGCTGAACAGTCCACAGTTCTGGTAGAAAAACTTCAAATTCAGGGTGACATTTCAGGTCTTCTTGGGTGATTAGGAAAGCTACAGATACAACGAACAAGGATTCCAAACAGAATTAAAAAAAAGGTGAAGATGTGTGTATATATATATATATAAGCAAGGGAAGAGAATACCTCTCATTTAGTTTTCTTAGTTCATAATTCAATCTAGATGATGTTAGGGGATGGAGATGGCTAAAGACTGCCCTGTGTGTTCGACAGCTTTGATCACTGAACCGTTACTCAGCTCTGAAATGTGTGAGCAGTGTGTCGATCAGCACTGTAAAGTTTCATCATTTTACTCTAGTATGAAAAAAAGTTCTGTGAAATGTTTCTCTGCTACTTTTAGTATAAAGTGTTTCCTATAGTTATTTTGGCTAATGGGCATCTGTGATTCACGTCATCCAAGCTGGGAAATGGAGAGACATCTGTTTCATTTAGCAATTTTATTGCACAAAATGATCAGCTGTGAAGAAGTGGTTTTGTTTTCATATCTGTCCCTGGTATTTTGCAAACTCTCGTTTCAGTGATTTTCTTGCTGTTCTTCCACAGAAATACTTCCCTTTTCAGCTGTCAGTGGTATACATACTTTATGTGGAGCTTTTCTCACTGTATAAAACATCAGAATGTCTGTTGGTTTTATTTTATATAGTCCTGTTTCATCATACAGTAATTGCAATTACTGTGAAAGACAATTTTATATACTTGGTCATCTACCTGAACTGGTTGAACAAACTTAAGTTGAGAAGGATTTCATAAAAATAAAAAAGGAATGTATTGCTAAACAGAAGACAATTAACATTTACAGAGACTAACAAAATAAGATCTCCCCCATCCCAAAACATTCTGTGATTCTACAAAATTGGAGTGTTATGTGAGTATGTACAAAAGAGAGTGAGTTAACAATCCAAGACAGAGAGGAAATCGGCTTTTAAAAGATGGATTTATTTTTTTCTTCAAATACAATAAAACCAAAATCAGCTAATATATATTGCCTTGTTCTTCAAGATAAATGCCACCATAAATAAAATGAGTTAATGAAAAGAAGCCACAATCAAATTCAGGTCAATATGTTTTTAGATCTGTGAAAGATCTTTGAAAACATTTTTCAGAAGGCTTTAGATGAGCATAATAATTCCACTTCAAAAATTACTTGAAAATTACAACATAGGAATGCTATGTTAATTGACTTCTAGTGATTCAAACCAAAACTGTCATTTACAGGAGTGTGGGATTTCTTTACCCCTGCTATGAATCTCATCCAAGTCTGAAATCTCCTGATAAAGGTTGTGGACTCTTTTCCAATAGCATACAAAGTGTTAATCCAATTTGCACCAAAAAGTCAGAAGATGCTACTGTGAAAGACAGATTAGGTTAGTCAGACCCATTTTATCATAGAAATTACTTCTGGAATTTGAAATGATTTACGACAATGAAAGATAAAGGCTTTAAGATATGTCACACCTATTACTATTTGCATTTCAGATTCAGAAGTCCCTCTCTGAATTACTAGTGACTGATACTCAGATAACTAGAGACTAGAATATGACTGCATTAACAAACCAGCCTTTAGTTTGAATTCTTACTGTAGGCATTAGTGCTCTTCAGGTTGGGTTTTTATCGTAATATGCTCTGATGTATAGGAGATTTTGCAACAGACTATGCAGGTTTTTGTAGCTTTTACCAAATGACAGACTATTCCAACACTATCTCACTAAATAAGTATTTACTGCACTACAGCCATTTGCATATTCTAGAAAATGCTTTTTTTCTACTTTCTTCTGTAATATATCTGCCAACATTTCAATTTAATCCAAGTATTGCAGTATGAGACCTCAGTATACTCCTGAGTTACATTCAGATTTTATTCAATAAAGTCCTGAATTTCTTATAATTTTGAGAACAAATTCCAGTGCAATTTGTCACCTGTTAGCACTTTTCTAAGTAAT